ACGCAGAAGTTTGTATAACTTAAAACGAATAACCACATATTATGGAGATTTTGTTTTAAGAAAAAGGGAAAGGAAAAATCCAGTCAAGATTGAGCTGACAAAAGCATCCAGAACATCACGCTCTATGTCTATGATACTAATTCTTTTTAATATTTTATTTTTTAAATTATCATACAGATTATACGCTTTTTGCATGTGATGATCTTGTTTCTATGAACGTTCCACACACTTTTGTTCTCGGCCTCTCATTGGTTCCTTCATTTTCCCATTCACACACATTTATGGATTTCATTTTCCTTCACTTACTAAATAAGTAAATATACAGAAATTACAAATATTCTGTTTCTATAATTAAAAACCGAGTCGCTTGATTATATTTAATACAAAATAAATAAACGCAATGGGCGTCCCATCGCTTACATTTTCCTTTTGGGTTTATTCAACTAGATTAAGCCGAGGAAACCAGTATCCGGTTGTTTCGGTTAGAGAAGAACCAGAAGGCCAATTTTATCGATTTTCCTTCAACCGGATCGGTTCATACAGGATAAAAATTTAAAATGTCGTGAATATAACCGTTAGTGATACGGTTTTAGTTATAAAGGGTAAGCTAAGCTAATTAATCACCGATTCGCCAAACTTTACTAATGAGAAGAAGAAAGAAACAGTGACGCGCATCAAAAGCGCGTGAGCCCAAGACTTAACTGCTATATAGCCCCACTTATTTTCTGGCCCAATTTAAAAACCCAAAATTAGAGGCCCATGGGCTACACTCTCTTCTTTCCTTTTTTGCTCCAGATTTAATCACACTTGACTGTGCGAGAAAACAAAAACCTGTGATTCGGTGAGCATTATCTTTGGATTTGAGAAGACAAGAGGAGATAATCAGTGGTCGTGGAATCGGAGATGTCTTAACCCTTTAGCCTTTGACTGTCTCTCAGCTCTGTGATTCTCTTCTCCATTGAGTTTCACGACTCCGAAACTTCCGGCAATGAATTACTGCAAAACTCTATTCCGTGCCTCTCTCGCTTCCTTTCCACTCGTTCCTCTTCCAAACCCTAATTCCTCAATCCCCTTCGTCTCTTTTCGCGCTTTTTCTTCTCCCTCCGTTCTCCATCCAAATCCATGTACA